TGCTTCCTGGCAAAAGCCAGCTCACTGGACAAATGGGCAAAGCTGAGAAGGGAGGCAGAGTTAAAATAAGCAATGCTGTGGCTGGTAGCACTGTTGAGGAGACAAATGCCTGTTGTCTTCTGGTGTAGACCCAGTACACGCTGGTCTCATTTTTAATCTAGTTGCATGGGGGTTCTCTCACATCTTGTGCAGCTCTGTGTGCAGTAAACTAAATTTTTAAATGGTTGTAGGTGCTGAAACTTACATATTTCTTTCTTGCTTCATGCATGCATGACTTTTCTTAAAATAAATCTTAGGGGCGGACTGATCTGTCTGAGCCATGCTAGCAAACCCGTGCCTACAGCCAGTGGGAAACTGAGCTGACCCCAGTGAGTGGAGGTGAGTTATGAGAAGAGCAAAGGAGACTCCAGCCTTTCTTCAGCCCCATGCAGCTGAGCCTGTGGCTGTGCCACACCGTGGCTTGGCTCTCTTCAGGGCTCGGAAGAGGAGAGGGACACTTTGCAGTTGCTCCTCAGCCTGTTGCTCCAGAACCCTGCCATGCTCCCAAAACACAAAAGAAGCAGTGCTGCTTCAGAGAGGACTCGTCAGTGCCTTGAGTTTGAAAAGACCTCATGCTGCTTTTATGTGGGTTTAGCATCACCCCTAACCTCTGGGTCACAGCCACCAAACAACTCTGCTGCCTGTTTAAGCTCCGGTAATCTTGGCTGGATTTCTGGTTTAATTTGGAGACAGCCTGCTGCAGCTCTGCACAGTAAATGCCCTATTAAGCAGTTAATTATTTCTCTATAATACTAGCTTTTATCTTTAATACAACAGTTTTACTGTCTCTGATAATTACACAGTCTCGGATAACTCTCTTAAATCTAATGAGGCATGACAAGCTGTGTTCAACAAGGCAGCACACCATTAACATCTTACCTCTTACTTGTCATCTTATCATACTGAATTACTGTACTGCTAGCCTGAGTGGCTGTGGATACACAACATGTCATTTCTCATTAAGACAATGAAGAAATTAATCCCTGGTGCTCTTGCAGATGGGCTAGTGGTCAGCTGGCTGACTTGGTGGCCTGCAGACCCCTTCAACAGCTTCTCTGCAACATAGTGCTCTTTGCCCCACGAGCTCAACAAGCTTGTTAGGTTTAGTTTGAATACTTCTGGCCACTCAAACAGCTTGGTTGGCCCATGGGTGTCTTTTCTTGTGGCTGGTTGAAATGGAAGTGGCTGTTTGAAGGGCCATCGGTGAAGGTAGAACTTTTTTGTGCTGCTGGAAGTCATTGCTGCAGGGATATCTTGTGGGATTCCACTGGGTAAGGGAAACCAGGAATTTTTTCTAGATAGGGATACGCCACAAACTGCTGTGGAAATGCTTGGTGTAACCTGACCTGGCTGCTGCTTTGTTAGCCAGGAGTGGTGGTAGTGGATTACGTCATTGGGGTTCTGATTTTCTGTGAATTTGAGTGACACCATAAACCAAAGTTCTGAAGTTGAGGGGATCATCTTTTCATCCCTGTCACCTTGCCAGTAAAAGTAGTGCAAAGTTATACTGGCTCCTGGCAGGAAGCGCCTGCATCTTCTCAGGCTGGACCAGGCAGGCGTTTCCCAGTGGAAGGAGCCCAGGCTGTCCCTCGGGGCAGGAGGTTGGGCTCCAGCTGGCAGGCTGAGGCCGGACTGATCAGATAAATTAGTGACCGTCTGCATGCAGAGCAGCACAGAGCCTTTTGTTGGGGAATCTGTTGTATCCAGCTAACGTTTTGGTGTTTCTTCCCAGCCTTTGCAGAGCTGACTGCTTTTGAAGGTGGGTTTGCCTTCTGGTATGTGGAGCCCATATGAGTTGTGCTGTCAAAGCTGTGTATTTCCCCACAGGGCAGGGGAGGAAAAAGCCCTGTTAAGGTTATAACCTGAGTCTTTCCGATTCCCTGTGGGTGTTTTCTGGGATCACCATTGGACTGGCTACAGTGGTGTGCTGGAGTAGATCAGTTCCTGGCTCTACAATGGCACTTTTTGCTTGAACAGAATTTGCTATTTGCTTCTCTGCCATCTCGTTAACTGAAAGACTAACTAGCGGGTAGAGTGTAAATCTGGAAATGGAGAGTGGGATACCAAGTTGTGTTTAAAATTGTTCTGACCTTGTCAGGAGTGTTAGTGATCTAAAATGGACCAGAGGTGTTGCCTGTGCCTTGTTCCTCCTGCAGGCTGTAAGTGAACTCATGTCTATCAAAGTGCATCTCCTTAACCCACTGGGGAGCACGCAGAAGCATGTGGCTCTGATGCCCTTGCTTTCATCTGTGGTACTCTGGGTCCCTGTCTCCACATCCCCAAGTTGCCCTGGGAAGTGTCCTCATGTGCCAGGATCTGTCAGCAGTGAGAAAAATCCCTGCCTTTGGTTGTAAATCCGAAGGCAGGGGCTGATCACGTCTAGCTGGGGAGATGAAGGAAGAATAACTGCTGACCAGTGGGATGGTGCGTGTCTGTTCTGGCTCTGCTTGCTTTTTAAAGTAGCGGAGTAGGCTACAGGGCTCCCAAGGGTGAAGACTTGGTGATGGTAAAATCGATTAACTGCTGGCCTCTTCGGGCTTCCGCAGTGTGTGTGCTCTTCTGTACTCATCGCAGGGATCTACCTGGTATCAGGCACATCTGGGAGGTGCAGAAGGATTTGGTGACTGGGATGGTTTCTCTAACAGGATTGTGCCTTGCGTACTCCCGTGTCCCACTGCTTTCAGGCTCCTGGTTTCACAGAATCACAGAATGGCGGGGGTTGGAAGGGACCTCTGTGGGTCATCTAGTCCAACCCTCCTGCT